GTGTGTGTGTGTGTGTGTGTAAAACCAAAATGTAACATTTTGTTATGTCTAATAATATTTTATTTGTCTACAGATATAAACAATAAGTTGTATATTGGAGACTTTGGTGCAAGCAGAAAACTAGATCCAGCACAAACCATCATGTTTTCACAAATGTACTGGATTAGTTATGAGTGTGCTGAAGAAAACCAATACAAGAAGGAGTCAGACGTCCAGGTATGTTGACCTTGAAAATGCTAATTAAACTGCTTACCATGATTATTTATCAATCTGTATTGTTTGGCTAGTTAATTGTCAACAGTTTACTATAAAAAGGTTATGATTGGGACTGTTAAAGAGCGTTGCTTTAATATAATCTGTTGCATTTTAGGTTGCGGGATGCTTGGTGCATTACATCCTGACAGATGGCCAACATCCCTTTCAAACAACAACACCATACTTCAGGAATCCCTTTGGGATATTGGATAATGTCCGAACGGGCAACTTTAACCTTAAATGTGAGGAAAACTGGAGCAGCCAAAAAGATATAATTTCCCAGATGCTGAGTAGATCTATTGAAGAACGTCCCTCCATTGAAGAAGCCCTTCAGGTATTCATGTGTGAGTACCGTCGCTTTAAATATTTTATATAATATTATGGACTAAAAACACTATCTTGGGTAACTAATGAAAACGGATTAACTTAATTTACAGGTTTGACACATCAGCCTGATTATACTGGAAATACAAACAACGCTGGGTTTGAGAAGCAAAGTAAAGTAAGTAATTCTTTTCAGGTAGGGCAATATAACATTCATTTTTCCACAGAGATTTTGTCTTACTTTGTATTCCACTGGCTAAATATATTGTCCCCTGATATAGACATTTATTCACTACTTTTTGTTATTATTACAGGATGGACCCCATTCAACAAATTTCTGCATTGAAACCTTTGACATGAACCTTGCAGAGAGTCTGGTCACAGATTTGCCTGACATTACTGCCAGTAATCCCCTGCCTTCATCTCCATCGACAGACGAGGAATGTTATGAGATTGAGACGGTAATAAAGGGTTTAATTATTCAAGTAGTGTTAAAGGCACACTATGCAACATTTTTCAGTTAATTAATCTGTTCCATAACGTTTTGGATG